TTTTTTTTTATGGTCTCTGCAGCATCAGCAACAAGAGTGGAAGTCGAATGCTGAGAAAAGCAGACCGAAAGTTCAATTGGAGGATTGAGTCTACATCAAGAACTCAAGACCACTACATCTCCTGTAGTCTACAACGTGTATTTGTATAGAGCCCATCGCATTGCGCACCCACCGGGTCCTCGATAAGCACACCCACGTGACTTTATCTCCCCCACGAATTTCTTGAATTTTCGCCCAACGCCCAAAGCTTGCATCTTTCGATTATTCTCCAATCATCCCAATTCCAACGCTTGTCCTCGGACGACCTACCGCTAAAAATGCCTCCCCGGAAGCAGTGGATGTAAGTTTTTCTCCCCCTGTCTGGGACCGGTTAATCCAAGCACTAACCCACCCATCTCCAGCGACAAGAAAAACGCAACCACCTACCAACTCTTCCACCGCTCCCAACATGACCCTCTCATCCACGACCCCAGCGCCGACGACCGCGTGCTCGCTCCGGTGTCCGGCCCTGCCCCTACCAGCAGCGCCGCCGCCGACGCCCACCGGGGCCAGAACCTGGCGACGCTGACCCAGCAATTCGGCCCCGGCGCCGTCCGCAAGAACGAAGGCGAGGCGGCCAACTACGGCATTTTCTACGACGACACCAAATATGACTACATGCAGCACCTGCGAGAGCTGGGGACTGGCGCCGGGGACGCGCACTTCGTCGAGGCCAAGAACAACCAGGCCGCCTCAGGCAACAAGGGCAAAATGAAGCTGGAGGATGCGCTGCGGCAGGTGTCGCTAGACGACGGGCAGAGTAGTGAGTTCGGGGGCAGCTACGCGCCCAGCGAGATGCGGTCGACGGCAACGGCGTTCTCGCGGAAGCCCACCTACCAGGACCAGCAGAACGTGCCGGATGCGATCGCGGGCTTCCAGCCGAACATGGACCCGCGGCTGCGCGAGGTGCTAGAGGCGCTGGAGGATGAGGAGTACGTCGACGAGGCGGACGATGACGATCTGTTCGGGCAGTTGACCACGCGGGCGGAGGAGATGGACCAGGGCGACTGGGAGGATACCCTTTACGATGATTTCGATGAAGAAGATGATGAGGGGTGGGAGTCGGACGCGACGGAGAAGGCGCCCGTGCAGACGGACACGACGGCCGCTAAGGCGCAGTACGAAAAACGAGCTGCAGCCGGGGCCGGCGGCGATGCGGAGGAGATGATGCCGGAACATGACGCCCCGGCGCCGGACATGCACCCCGAGGATCAGGGCTGGATGCGCGAGTTCGCCAAGTTCAAGAAGGACGTCAAGGCCGGCGTCGCCAAGCCCGCCGTGCCCGCCGCCGCCCCTAGTGTCGTGCCCTCCGAGCAGCAGAGCACGCTGGCGTCGACGGTGTTCACGGTCGGCGGCACGCCGATCCGTCGCAAGAAGCGCAAGGGTGCCCTGACGAACCCCTCGGCGTACTCGATGACCTCATCGGCCCTGGCGCGCACCGAGGGCCACCGGCTGCTGGACGATCGCTTCGATCGCGTGGAGCAGCTGTATGCGCTGGACGAGGAGGATGAGTTCGACGACAGCATGTCCATGGTCAGTGGCATGACCGGCATGACTGCCATGACCGGCATGTCGGCCATCTCCGAGGCCCCCAGTCTGGTCGATGCCAATGGGCAGACGGTCAACCCCCGCCACAACTTCACTTCGGTCATGGATGACTTCCTCGCCGGCTGGGATGACAACACCGGGTCCCAGGCCAAGCGCAAGGGTGTCAAGTACAAGCGCGGTAAGCACGGCAACGAGGCCATCGGCATCCGCATGCTGGATGAGGTGCGCCAGGGCTTGGGCCCGGCGCGTCTGGGTTCTTCGGGACGAGTCCCTGGACGGGCGTAAAGTAAGGTGGTGGATTTAGGGGGGCAGGGCGATTTTTCTCTCATGGCTGCTACTGCGTGTGTGTGTGCACATGCTTTCAACGATTGCGACGATACCTTTTACCCATGGCATGTTCTGGCTGGAAAAATAAAAGATTTGCGGGCTTTCTCTCACATAAGGCGTCTCGGTTTACGGTTTTGTTTGAATATTTCCCACCTTGCATGGTAGATAGACGTCAACACAAAAAGTCTTCATCGGTCGCTTTTCACACAGACCCTAAAAATGGCCGGATGCATACATAGGCAACACACCCGCATAATAGTTCATGTAATCATTATACAGTGGACGGCATCATTTATACATATACATACATCAAGTGCCGAAAAGGGGGTATACAAAAAGTCTATCATCTCTAAAAAGCCCCTCCCACCTTCTCAGTGATCCACATGGCCAGACGAACCTTCCAGCTCACCCGCCGTTCCGTGCGCCGCAGATCCTCTCGAGAGATGGCCTTGGAATTCTTCTGTAGCCAGTCCGTCTCGGCGCCGAGTCGGCGTTTGAGCGTCTGGTTTCCCGTAACGACCACGGCACCCACTTCCAGATCCAGACTGTAGCTGCGCTTGGTGTAGTTGCTGCTGCCGACAAATGTCAAGCTGGGATATTCCTCCCGGGGCAGGGTAATCCACAGACCCTTGGCGTGGTAGGTCCAACCACCAGGCTCCCCGACGGTGCCTCGGCGCCATTCCTTGAGCTGGACGGAATCCGTGCGCTTGGCCAATGCCACCTGGTCGAGGAACTTGGCGGAGAGATGCGTATATGCCGCGGGGAGCATACCGGAAATACCCGAGGACCCATAGAAGCCGTTGGCCCACGGGGAGGCTGTGAGCACGGTCCCGCGGGTGCTGATCGCGGTGTGTGACGGCGAGGTGCTGGCAATCAAGAGGGAGGAGAGGACAGGGTGGATGTTGAAGTACCCCGCTGTGAAGAGCCAGCGGGCACCGGAGAAAGCGGTAGAGGTCGAGAGGAGACGGAGGATGGAGGTGACGGCTGGGAATTCCGTCGAGGTGTCTGGATTTAACAGGGAGGTGAACTGGGCCACCGGGTAGACGTAGGCATGAGTGGAAGTCTTGGGCTCAAGTGCTTTCTTGGTGTCGATGTTGGGCTGGAAGAAGGGCTTTAGGAATGTCGAGGAATACGCGATGAACTTCTGCGGGTCGTCCAGAGGGCAGGGAGCACCATTGGCCTTCGGCCAGTCCAAGAGGTATCCGGCGGCGTTGTGCGGATCCGGGAGCACTTGGAAGCTGAGACTGCAGACGGCGTGGTGGATGCTGGCATAGTAGTCAGCGAGCTCTTTCGAGCTGAAGACGTGGTATCGATCCAGGCGGTTCGTGAAGTAGTCGTTGGACAGATTTGCGCTACGCTTGCAATCAGTAATTGGGCTTGTGCACGTCAGGATCACATATAGCATACCCTGAGAGGATGATCTCATCGTCGAAGCCATACAGCTTCATGTGTTGCAGACCCCATCCCTCATTGATCCTGCGGGGGATCCATTTCTTCTTGAGACCCGTCAAGTTTGGAGTATGAAACATTCGGATTTCGACACGTTCAGGTCCATGGTTTGTAACGAGCGAAGCGAGGAGCGATGCGCATGAGGGGTCCGGCGACTCGCGGGTTCCTCGAAGGCAATCGGTGAGAATGGAGACCTTGAGGTCGGGGTTTTCCCGCAGCGCTTGGTCCAGAGTTGCAATCAACTCATGCTCAGTCTTGCCGATGTACAAGGTCGAGAGGTAGATGCGTCGTTTGGCGTTGCGGATCTTGCTCTATATATACGGAAATGTCTTGATCTTAGTCCCTCCACGCTCTCCTCTGGCGCATCCAATCCTGACTTGACTCGATTGTCCAATCATACCTTAAGGGTGCTGTAGAAGCTGGCAGGGGAGTCCAGGATTTCAATCCTCTCGGCACTGATCTCGAAGCAAGGTGAAATCCGATCCAGCTCGGTGGTAATACTGCCCAACGGCGAAGCGGCCGAGGGCACAGTCGAATGGGCGCTGGCATGAGAGGAATGGGCCGAGAATCTGCGCTCACAAAGAAGATTCCTCCGCGCAGCGGGTCGGCGCGCCGCACACCGAAGGGCATTGCCCCCAATCCGTCCGAACATCCTTCAAATCTGTTCTGGCAACAGAAAACAAGAGAACCGGGGAATCCGGAGGACAATTGGGGCTGTCGCGAGCGGGAATCGGGAAAGATAACAGAACAGACAGCAACGGGGTGTGCAAACGCCGCAAACACCAGCCAATCACGCTAAACCGGATCGGGCGGGCGGGCAACTCCCGCCGGCGATGCAAGAAGACGGAGTCGACGACGACGCCGACGAAACCACCTGCTTGCTTTGGTCCAGTCCATTGGCGCTTGACGACTCCCTACACATCTTCTCAAAATGTCGACTATTCTTCGTACGCTGCGCAACTTGCGGCGTATTGGCTTCAAGGTGAGAATCGAGCTGCCCACAATTGCTTCATAGGACCTCCTTGCTAACTTCCATCTTCGCACAGGAATATGGCCACCAGATGAACGTATGTACCCCTCGGAGAGCCGGAGATGATGGATTTGGATGGATAAGGCACTGACGCTGTGTTTGATTTCTTCGACGAAAATAGTACATTGGTAAGTTCGCCGCGCTGAGGAAGGAATACAGCCGCAAGAAATAAATGTCTGACGCAATGGCTCTGCAGGTGACACCAAGGCCGGTACCTTGATTGGCACTGATCGTTACGGAAACAAGTTCTACGAGAACATGGAGGAAGAGCTTCCTCGTGAGTGAAGTCGGAAGCTGATCCTGTCGAAAAGCTTTTGTTGACGGTCGTCTAGTCCGTACGCGCTGGGTGGATTACAAGGAGCATGAATACGACCCTTCTCAGATCGAGCCCGGATGGTGAGTATCTGGCTTTTCTTGACTCGAGACTGCAGCGGCGCGACCTCATCTCTGACTCCGATTTCAGGCACGCTTGGATCTCCTACATGGTCGATGCCCCCCCTACAGTAGACAGGGCCCTGCAGACTGGCGTCCGCGCTTGGGAGCTGCCTGAACACAGACCCACCCTGACCCTGAGCCGCGCTGCTTTCAAGACCTACTCGACGTGAGTTAACTCCGGCTGTAACCTGCGTGAATGAACTGGTGTACTAATCCGATGTTTTCAGCACCCGCCCTAAGTACTCTGCTTGGACCCCCGTTGCGGCTCCCCGGTAGATCTAAGATCACCTAGCTCTATTGTTCCATGCCTTGGACTTGATGTGTACATAAAGATGTCTTGTTTTCCACTTCAAAACTATTAACAGTTTCCCCAGTTAGTCTATGTCTCTTCCACTTGCAAGCTCTATATAGTTGTTCTCGTCTATACACCAAGATCACCGAGGTATCATATTAAGTGAACCAGCAAAGGAAAAGGAAAATTAGCGCTTGCCGTAGACCTAGATACACACATTCAAAGTACATATATACCAGAGCCGATGCTGGACCAGTGTCGAATGGGACGGCGATCTTCTAATTCGATGCACCACCAGAGCACCTCTTTCAGTTTTTCAGTCTGCCCCCCTGCTTCATATGCCCGAGAGAGTGCATACCAAGCTTCACTGTTGTCCCAAGAGCTGCCTAATTTTGTCAACCCGGATAGCAGGCCAAAGGCTCGCTCCCGCGCTGCGATGCGGTTGAGAAGTTGAGGCTCTTCCTCCTTTTCAGCCTCAGCAGACTCTGCCTTTGCATCCGTGGGAAGAGTTACGCCAGCATGGTTTGATTGCTTTCTGGGCTGGCTGAGAGGGGAGGACAGAGGAAACGTGGAGGGGTCGAGTTCAATGCCTGGTCTTGGAGGCTCCAGAGGGATTTTTCGATCGAAGATGTCGAGTAGTAGGTTGGATAGGCCGATCGTGGCTTTCGGATGATTCAGTTCATGTCGAAGAGCCTTCTCAAAGTGTTCCATGGCTTCATGTGGACGCTCCTGTGCGTTTGACAGAAGACCCCGCTCTGCGTAAAGGTCGGCCCAGAGGTCCTGGCAGCTCTTGGGACAGCCCCATCCCCGTTCACGGAACGCTCGTGCGGATGATTCCTGAGAAGCCACAAGGCTCTCGAATTGCGTGATGTGCTTGGACGCTTCTTCGCATGCTTCGTGTGCGTCGTCAAACGATGACGCGCGACGATAGAGTCCAGCAATAAGTAGCCAGATGTTGACAAGTATAGAGAGAGCGTGCTTCTGGGATTGAACTGGTGGAACCTTGGTCACAGCTCTGGTGGGTGAGTCAAATGCGTAGGATAGAGGTAGTCGAGTGTCCTGTACAGGCGGCTGATTAGGGTGTCCAATTGGAGGGGGTTGTTGATTGTGCTTGATATTATGAGGTATGGACCCCAGCGGCTGTCGGGCGGTTGACGGTTGAGCAGCTGTATCAGTGACTGCCATTCGAACCATATCTGGAGAGGGCGGCTGGGGCGCAGCATCAGGACCAGCCTGAGCTGCGTTCTTGCCGATCACTTGAGAATGATCCTGGTTTTGCATGCCATCCGGTTTCTGGAGGGTATTGCTCCTAGATCGCACTTTCCGAGATCCAGACCCTGCAACGGCTTGCTTTGCGGCGGAAGCATCGTTAGTGACTTGTATGGCGGGTGCCGTATCACCGCGATCAGGGTGAGGGAGTGCATGGCCATCGGCCTTTAATTCAGGAGCAGTTTCTCCTCTCGCACGATGTCCACGGTGCCGTCCAAAGATACTTCCCCGGAGACTCTTCACTGTTCCAGCAGAGCTCTTAGGTGGTGCAAGATGGTCAGCCGGTGCATTACTAGGTTTTGTTTCCGTTTCAAGGCTCAACGATCCGAATAAGGTGGCAAAAAGGCTGAGAAGCTGTTCGCTGTGGTTCAAAGCGTTCTCGGGCCCCTCGAGGAGCTCAACGAATGCGAGCTGCGTCATGCGAGTCTCAATGATGCGTTCCTTCTCCCTGTCACGCAATTGATCTATCAGAGCATGGGTCAACCCAGTGACTGCCTGCTCCTGGAAGTTATGATTATTCTTCTGTGGCCGTCTGTCGCTGTGAGCTAAGGAGGTAATTGTAGCAGGAAACTGCTCAAAAGCGGCTTCACAGGAGCGCTCGGCAATGTCGAAATCTTCCTTCGCACTAAGAAGCAGAGCGAGTAGATGCCAAAGGGGAACAAGTTCCCGTTCGCGAGTAAAGTCGGCCGATCCGGCTCGTGGCTGTGGATTTGATGTCAAGGCCGACCGGACATACTCAACAGCATTATCGATGTCCCTGTTTTCGGCCAACAACAGAGCTAGAGTGTAAAGCGAGGACCGATTAAGTTCGTCTTCAAGCTCCGGTGCCAAACTTTTGTCAAGGTAATCAATTGCCTCTGCGCGAATATCGTCGCGGTCCTCAGTAAAGGGCGTCCAGTAAGCCCAGTTGGCTAGCCCTATGCCAATACCTCTATAAGCTGCGGCAAGATCCAGCAGCGAAACCACCTGGGAGCTAGCTGAGTTCGTTTGTTGTATGATAACGATAGCACCGTTCTCCTGGTCTTTGTTTTCTTGGACATGCTTTGCGACAAACTTCTTCAGTAACTTTGTTAGGTCTCTTGCTTTTTCGGCTTCTTTGTCGGAACCGAAGCAGCACAGCATGGTTACGCCCTCCGCGATGGTGCGAAGCAGGTTACCATCATTCTCCAATTCTCCGGACTCCGCCCCTTTCTCGGCCCTTTCTTTAGCACTAGTCACAATTTCTATGTAGGAGTCAAGCGCTTTGATAGCAAGAACAGAGTCACCCAAGGCACAATGAACATGAAATAGACGTCGAAGAATCAAGTGCGAATGATACGTCTTGGTCGCAGCACGATAAAGGATCTGTTACGACAGAGTTAGTATGCTTGGTCGTTTGCTTTGTAGCCCTGTCGCCCCTGGTTCCATGGTGAAAACATACATCGAGGACGTTTCTGCCGACAGCATTTTGACCTCCTTCCCCGAGCTCTTCATCCGTCCAGTCGGGCCCACCAAGCACCTGCCAGTTGGATATCACTTCTTCAACCCATTCTTCAACCGGTGGGTTGTTGGAATTGGCGGAAGGGAACTTCGTCTCACGAAGAAGATTCGCCTCGTAGACAGCTTCTACGCGTCGGATTTCGCTAGCCAATTGTGGGCGTTCAGGTCCGTTGGTGGAAGGGCTATATGGCACTCCATGTCGCAGAATCGCCGTTAGGAGCTGGTAATACGACTTCCAAAGTGATGACCGGAGTACTGCTTCAGTAGAATTGTTCGTATGCACTGTCTGAGAAGCAGTCGCTTGCTTGCTATTAGGATGAGAAGCCCACAGTCGGAGAAATCCCAGAGCAGTCGTCACGGTTTGCGCATCGGTAGCGGCAATGTCGCGGAGAGCATCTTCGGCGGTGATGAAGGCGCCTTCAGCCAAAAGCTTCTCCGACCAGTAGAGAAATTGAGGGTTGCTCAATGTGGAACCCTGCAAGTGGTTATTCAGCCACGGTGTGACCGATTCGAGAGTTTCCAGGGCATCACCGGCGTCCGACACCATGCGTTGCGAGGCAGCTATGCATGTATTAGCGCATTGCACGACAGTATTTGAATCTATCCGCAGTGAAAGGACGCACCTTTCAAATAGCATGCTTTAACAAGGCAGGCTTGCGTCCACGGGGAGAGCTCTTCCCCCGCACTTTCGAGGTCATGGATTGTTTCAGTGAAATTGTCCGGAAATCGAGATGTTGCTAAGCTTGGTTCATTCAGTGTCCAGTGCACCCAACCCAGGCAAACTTGTGCTTGAAACACCTCCTGTTTGGGTCCTTCTGCTCGATTGACCGTAGATAGGAGGGACGGGACTAATTCATGGAGGCTGGAAGAGGTGGAGGTCGACCGGGGAGTTGATGCTTCTTTCTGGATATGCGATGCGATTTGGTATTCTGCGCTGGCAACCTCCAGGAGACCTGAGAGAGCGACACTCGTCAACTTATCTTCCGGCTAGTGATAATCATGGTGCGAAGGGCAAGTTGGCATTACATGTCTTTTGCGGAGCATGCTTGGTCACTTTGCGAATCAATTCAGGAACCTCATCCCATTTGTCCTGGCAGCGCGCATTTTCCAGGGCAGAGATGTAGCGATGCCCCTTATCGGATTCTCGGCCCTACCGTACGGAGACAGGTAATCAGTAAAATGTCTGTTTTGAGCGGGAGTGAGGGGGTGTGGCTGAGCCGGGTGTGTTTGTCGCTACATACCGTCATGATTGAGCTAGGTGAGACACGGATGAAGAGGGGGAAGATAGCAAGAATGGAGGGGAGAGAAAGAAAGAGAAAAGACAGGCAGACAGGCAGACAGGCTCATAACAATGCAAATAATCAAGAATGAATGGAATGCCCCCTCGGAGGCAGCAGTAGTTTAGTTAAAGGTGGTGGTAGTGGAGCGGAATCAAGATTGAACTGACGCCAGCGATCATCAACCCGCCGGCCGATTAGGGGAAAGGAGACCCGCTCCCGGTAATATAATGTGTATTGTGTTTTTTTTTACCTTACCGTTCCGCGGCCCAGGCGGAGCTTCACCTAAAAAATTTCCTAGACTCAATTTGGAGAACAGAAACACAAACCTAGTCTTCTCAACTTTGCGACCTTCGCACTTCAATTGCTTCTTGCTCGCTTCGTGCTGCAAGGGTCGGTCGCTGTCGCTCACTATGGCTTATATGGCAATGTCACTTCATGCGGTCAACCACCGCCTGACCAATATCCCCGTCAAGCAGTTGCCTCCGCTCGCCTCATGTCTCGCAGCTTCACTAAGCAATTGCGGGGAGCTTTTGTCTGCTCCGCAGAGTCAGAAGTCCAAGTCGGACTCGGACAATGCGGTCCAAATTCATAAGCTTATGACGCGACTGGTCAGTCTACTGCAGGATCGAAGCGTTGAAGGACGCTGGACAGCAGTGGTTCTTGTCAAGGCGTTGGTGGAAGCCGGTCAATGGGAGGTTCTTCGTGGATGCGAACCGTTTGTCCGCGGCCTTATCGCGATCTTGAACGTAAGAAGTCCTCTCTCTAACTCTATGCTACCGTGGTTATTGATTGCATTTTCTTGTCTATTTTAAGAAACCCGATCCTGTTTCTACGAAGAAAATGGCCATCATCACCTTGACAAGGATCTTCCACCTGACCTACCAATACCCGACCCTCGTCCGCGAGATCACAACGCCGTCTCTCCCTGGCTTTATCACCGCCGCCTTGAACTTGATTTCCATCAAGCCATCCTCTGAGCCCACTCGGAAGCTGAAGCCCAATACCCCTTTCGTGGACATTGTTCTCAATTCATTCGCGGAGCTGATTGCAAGGCACCCGACAATTTTCCGACCCTTCACGGCGCAGATTCACAGTGTCCTCCAGGCCATCATTGGCTCGACTGAGCCCACGTATCCTGAGCCAATTTTGGAAATTGCGCAGCAGCTGTTCGTCTCTCTGCATAACTGCGCCCCGAAGAACACCTCCGGCGAAGAATGGAAGAACGCCTGCCGGATGACAATTGCCTCTATTCATGCAACGTCCTCTTATGTCTTGAGAGCAGTCGTGGAACAGTGGGAGTCGGTCGACCCAGCGTTACGCCAACAGTCCATGCCGCAGAACTATAGCCAGGAGGTAGGAAACGGGCCTGACGCATTGGGCTTGGCTAGCTGGCAGGGCCTGCCTGCTGGTATCAATCGGCTCGTCGTGCTTTTGCGCATGCTTTCCAAGTTCCTGGATACCGCTACAGCATCCACTGTGATCATTCCCCTGGGTTCGATCTTGGATCTTTGCGCACGCTTGAATATGGTAACGTACCCGTCTGACGGCGAGATCCAAGCCAACCAGCAGATTGGCCGAGCTGAAAGAGAGCACCTGCTTACGGAGCTGCCCCGGATCCATGCCGCTTGTCTCAGGCTACTCGTCGATCTTGTCAAATCATTTGGGACGGCTGTCATCCCTGTGGCACAGACCATTTTGGAGCAAGCTCTTTGGGTGTTTCGTGCTGAAAAGTTCAGTCGGGAAGTCCGCACGGCCGTCTATGACCTGGTGCGCGTCTTGCTACCGCACATGGGTCCATGCATGACCAAACAAGGTGTCTCTTCTTTGACAGCGGTGCTTCGTACCTGCTGCCACGACCTGTTGCCCCCTCCGAGCACCCAGACTGCGGCTACGGAGAAGCCTGACCCCAAGTCGAAGTCGAAGTCCAGCCAGGCTACCGTGAACGCGGACTCCTTCTTGAACCCTGGATTGAAGCCCGGGCGTCAGCTGAGCAGCTCTCCCACATTTGCAAACCTCAGACAGGCCTCATCTGAGCTTCTCGTGGCTGTCCTGTCGCACACCTCGACCGAGCTCATCACCCCAGCCCTGCGCGCGGAGATCGACCGAACCATCATCATGACCTCCGACAAGAATGCAATGTTGGCTAGTGTTCTCAACCCCTTCGCTAACATGCAAGGCCGTGGCGTAGGCACAAGTATCATGCCTTTCCTGGCGCGCAGCTATTCCACGGAGATGGAAGTAGAAGCTCTCATTCGCCCGCGTATGCCCGTCTTGGTGAACGGCCCCAGCGCCAACGGCTATAGCGTAGCCGATGATGACGATGAAGAAGACGAAGAGACGGACGCTGTGCTCGCGCCCCAAGCACCCATCGAAACGAGCGGCTTCCTAAAGCCCTCTGCCACCCCTAGTCTTCACCAGGATATGATGGACGTTGAAATGACCCCTTCATCTTCCAGCCCCTCCCTAAACAAGCGGAGTTATGCGCAGGAACCGGAGGTGCAGAGTCCTGCACCTTCCATCGCGACGGAGAGCGCGCAGAGCAAGAAGGTCCGGGTTGAGTCTCAAGAAACCAAGGTCTTCGCTCAACCTTCGCTGGGTGCCGCTTCGCCTGCTACATTCACGGGCACGGCTGCTATCTCTGTTCCCGCTTCTTCCATCACGGCGACCGCTGCACCTAAGCCTGTTATTTCGAGGACGGGACCTTCGGCTTCGGCCTCGGCCTCGGCGCCTCAGCCGCGTGCCGTTGTGGCCGCAGCCGAGACAGCGGGTGATGATCACAGTGACGATGAAATGCCCACCCTGAACATCGATCCGGATACGGATGACGAGGAGGAGGATGAGTAAACGAAGGAAGTAGCAGTATTAGTTGGTCGGTTTAGGATAGGTCACTGCACGCTTGAGAGATACCAAAAAGCATTCTGTTTTCGATTCAGTCTGGTCGCCGTGATCGGACGGACTTAAATGGCGAATTTTTGTCAAAGTGTAAGGAGAATTTGACATAACGAGAAGCCCAGATAAATGAGCCAAACTCATGTGTTCTCGGTTCTCGGTCTGCAATCGATCTAAATCTATGTCATCTATCTAGAAGTACCATGTACGCCAAACAGCTAGCCCAACTTGATCCAAACCCTGGAAATTATACCACCCGCACCCCTCGGCCCCAATACGTCCCATCATCCCAATACCGAAACCAGGGGGAAGACCAACACCACCACCCCCGATCTTCCTCTCTCACCCCAATCCCCAGCCCGCGCAGCGGACTCACAGGCAACGGCTCCGTCAACCACAATCCACCTCTCGCGAAATCATCCGCAATAACCGGCGCCGTGAGGTACAACCACCCGACCGCGAAGACCAAATTCGCGGCACGTCGCAACCCCCGGGGCAGGAGGGTTCGCTTCCTCGCGCCCACCAGGACGTGCGCGCCGACGCCCTGCACGATGAATCCCACGGCCTGGAGGATGAAGAAGCGGAACGGTCCGCGGGCGGGGCTCGTCTCGAGGATCTGCGCATAGCTGCCGCACGAGTGCACGAGGCCGCTGAGGCTGAAGGCGACGAAGGTGTAAATCAGCTGGCGGACGGCGGGACGGGTAACGGTGTGTGCGGGGAGGGGGAGGAGGGAGATGAGCCAGCGGCCCGTGGAGGTGAAGCCGACGCGGAAGAGCTGGTGCCACCATTTGCTCCAGCAGCCGATGAGGCCGTGGTCGAGGATGGAGGGGAGGAAGGGGCCGAAGGTGTCACCGTACAGCCAGGCCGCGTCGAGGGGCACGGGGTTCACGGCGCGGGCCGCGGGGGGGAAGGCGAGGGCCAGGCCCCCGAAGATGAGGGGGTTGAAGGAGGTCACGAAGGCCAACGCGGCGTGGATGCCGAAGCCCGTCACCGCCAGACGGTAGAACCGGACCAGGCCGGGGACGGCGGCGAGGGAGGTGAACGGGTAGGGCGGCGCCAGGGCCATGTTCCCGTTGTACATGAAGTACGTGTCGCGGATCATGAGCAGCTTGATCAGATCCAGGGTAAGATAGGATCTGATGCAGAGCATCAGGGCGGAGCGCACACGGGCCCGAATGGCAGCAGTATCCGCCTGCTCCTCCCCTGCTTGCGTTATCTCGTCCGCACGGAAGGACGGATCTTTGGCTTTCAGCTGTGCGTGGACTGAGGAGGGCAAGGGGTCAAGCGACGAGATGCGCCAGTTCCACTCAGGTCCCCGCATGCCGAATAACAAGCTTAGGACCCAACTCAGGCGCTGCGACAGTGCCTGTGGATACGGCTGCCATGCGAGCTTTTCGACGTTTTGCTGGTGCGCGTGCTCTGTGGCGTTCGTCCTGTCCCTCTGCGTGGCGGAACCTTCTTTTGCCGACGAGGGTGCGGAAACCCTCGTCCTGACAATCCGTTGACATTCGCGCTCGGCGTTTCTGTACGCCAGCCAGACAGCGCACCAGATGAGCCACCATGCTGGTAGCAAGCCGCCCATATACCCGTAGCCCCCCAGGAGCATGCGTCGGTGGCGCAGAAAGTGGATGACAGTGCCGAAAATGCAAGCCAGTACGAAAAGCTGCACATAGCGGCCGCCCTTGCGCCGCGGAACCAGGAGCGCCGGGACAGGAAGCAAGAGAAAGGCAATCAGTTGCCATAGGAAAACCGGCTTCGCCTCGCCATTCTGGATGAGCGACTCGTACTGACTATGGTAGTCTTCGACGAGTTGGCGGTAGAAAGGAATGGGAGGTGTGGCGGCCATAGGAGGATCGCAAGTCGATCAGAAACGACAAGCACGAGAGAAGATGTACTCTATATATATATATGTGGCGCAAAAGATGTCTTGAACAAACGCGAAACAATTCGACTGGCAGTTGAAGCTGTTTAGTAATCCAATAATCGACACTGCCTCAGATTCATGCCTGAACACGAAGCGGTGGGTGGTAAGCAACGACGGCAAGAGCGGTGGGATTGCTGAACCCCACAAGGTACTGTACCAGAGTACGTACTGTATATATTGTAGAAATGTAAATCAAGATGTATAGGAGAAAGGTTATACTATGTATCCATGGTCAAAAAAATGCTATGGGACAGCAGATTCGGAGGTAAGTGGTGGGATCGACCCTCGGGGGCAAAGGGACTGGAAAAAAAAGGCGGATCCCTCAATAGTTCGTCACCGACTTACGAGGTGGGCGGTGATCGATTCGCCAACGCAAGGGGCATGATTCAGTCCCTGTCTTTCTCTTTGATTCCTTTAGAGTTTCTTTTTTTTTTCTTAGCATTTCCTATGCATTAAGAAGCGTGATGACCCCTCCCCCTTGTTGCTTGCTGCGCTCCTTGCCATCTGCCAACTGTGCGTTATGCGGAGTAGACAAGCTGCCAAACGAAGGTCAGCGATATGCGGAATGTTCTGCAGATTTGGCATATTTTCGGATCTGAGTGAATCTTATCTATCCAGTTCATGATTGGGTTCTTGCCACATTCACTTCCGTAATTTGTATGAGTACTTTGTCGAAGACAGAGTGCTGGATCTGTTGATAGACTGACATCATGTTCCTCTATCGGCAACTGGCGGGTGTCCGGGGCAATGTTATATGTTCATTGGTCACATGGGCGCGTTGTCTTCCCGCGTCATCGAAGCGAGAGATCCATCACTGCTATTGATCAACTCCACTATACTACTAGTGTATAACATCAGCACCTTAATTCGAAACATCGACCACGGGAAGTTCTCTGGCGCTTGGCCGGGTACCCATTTCTATCATGGGCCTTCATCCGGAGAAGCGGGGCATCGATCATACTGACTTCGCCGACAGCAGCCCGTATGCGCGTTTCAAGTCAGCGCGTACCAGCTTCGGGCAGCGCTTTGGTGAGGAAACAGCCTATGTCCCTCTTGGCCAAGCATCGCAATCCTTCACCGGAAATGAAGAGGACGACGACGCCCAGGCTGCTGATCTGGTTCAAAGCAGTCAAGATGTAGAGGAATCCGGTTCGTTGCTGCATTACGGCGACCTGAACACGAAGATTGTGGGCGTGCGCTACTACAGAGGGCATGCCACCATTGGCGAGCATGTGATCATCAAACGAGAGCCTTCGAATCAGTACGATAGAAACGCGATTCGAGTTGACAACGTGATGGGCAACCAGATTGGTCACATTCCAAGAACCATGGCAGCCAAGCTGGCAAAGTATCTGGTACGCTGCTCAAAGTGCTGTACACGCGAGTGTAGCTCCGGCGTTGGCGATCTGCTAAAAACCTCGCATATAGGATGAGCGGTCTTTGCTCATTGAAGGCATGCTGACAGGTGTCATTGGCGCTTACGACTGTCCCGTCGTGCTGAGACTCTATGGCCCGGGTAATCCTGAGCTCAGACACGCTCTTAAAAGCAGGATGGAAGCGGACAGGCTGCCGTTGAATGCCATCAGACAAAGGGAACGGGAGGAGAGCAAACGACAGAAAGAGCGTGAGAAGGCCGAGAAGCAAGCGGCCAAGCTGGCTCGTGCCATGGCAAAGAGCAAAAAGGATGAGGAGTGGCAGCTTTCAAGTAATATGGGCTACTCAAATCTCTACTCCGGGGAAGGTGACCTGAGTCTTGAGAACCAGGAAAGCCTTGAAGAGCTCATTGGACAAAGCAGCACCTTCAACCCTCGTGATATCGGACAAGTGAACGAAGACTTTGGCATCAAAGAAGCTGACTTAGAAAAGATGCCAATGGCCGAAAATCCAGAGGCTCTAGCGACACAGCTTCTACCGTATCAGCGCCAGGGGTTGGCTTGGATGATTGCTCAGGAGAACCCGGTACTTCCTGCAGCTGGATCTGCGGAGGTGGTGCAATTGTGGAAGAGAAATGGCAACAAATTCACCAACATCGCTACCAATTACTCTACCTCACAGGCGCCGCCTCTGGCCAGTGGTGGTATCCTGGCTGATGACATGGGCCTTGGCAAGACGATTCAGATCATCTCTTTGATCCTCGCAAACTCCCAGCCCAAGACTCCAGCCTCCTCCAAAACCACTTTGATTATCTCCCCAGTGGGCGTGATGAGCAATTGGAAGAACCAAGCACAGGATCACACTCACAGCGACCGAGCCCCTAAGGTACATGTCTACCATGGTCCAGGGAAGAAGGAGGCCGCCAACCTCGATCAGTATGATATCGTCATCACAAGCTATGGTGCTTTGGCTATGGAGTACAACCCGAACGCCAAAGCGCCTCCGAAGAAGGGGCTATTCTCGCTCCAATGGCGTCGTGTAGTCCTTGATGAGGGACATACAATTCGCAATCCACGTTCTAAAGGTTCTATTGCGGCGTGTAACCTGAGGGCAGACTCGCGCTGGACGCTCACAGGAACCCCTATCGTGAATACCCTCAAGGACCTTTACTCCCAAGTTCGCTTCCTCCGACTCACCGGTGGCCTTGAGGACATGTCTGTGTTCAACAGCGTTCTCGTTCGGCCTCTTATGTCTGAAGATCCCAATGCTCGTTTGCTACTACAAGCTCTGATGAGCACACTCTGCTTGCGCCGTCGGAAGGACATGAACTTCGTGAATTTGCGTCTTCCTCCGCTCACTTCCCGTGTCCTACGTATCAAATTCCATGCGCACGAGCAAGAGAAATATGACATGTTCCAGTATGTCTCACCACCGGGCTTTCTTCCCCACTGTCTCCGGCTCACTAACAATTCCCAGGTCTGAGGCGCAAGGCATGCTCATAGATTTCAAATCGAAGGACAAAGGCGGCGCCACATATTCTCACCTTCTCGAAGTCATCCTCCGTCTGCGACAAGTTTGCAACCACTGGGCGCTTTGCAAGAACCGCATTGACAAACTAGCGGAGTTCCTCGAGAAGAATAAGGTCGTTCCCTTGACCCCAGAGAACATCAAAGCGCTCCAAGACGTCCTGCAAATCCGCATTGAAAGTCAAGATTCCTGCCCCGTCTGTCTCGACCCCATACAGCAGGAACAGCCCGTGATCACCGCCTGCGCTCACGCCTTTTGCCGGAAGTGCATCGAAGAAGTGATCGACCGCCAACACAAGTGCCCCATGTGTCGCGCCGACATCGAAGACACAACAACGCTCGTTTCCCCCGCCGCGGAGATGGGTGAAAGCACGGACACCGTCGTCGCCGACCCCGACAACCCCAGCAGTAAGATCGAAGCCCTGGTCAAGATCCTCACCGCGAAGGGCCAGGCTGCCGACACCAAAACTGTGGTCTTCAGCCAGTGGACCTCGTTCCTAGATCTGGTGGAGCCCCACCTCCAACGCCACGGGATCGGCTTCGCGCGTATCGACGGCAAGATGAACTCCCTCGCGCGCGACAACTCCACAACCCGCTTCTCCACCGACCCCGAATGCACCGTCCTGCTCGCCAGTCTGAGCGTCTGCAGCGTCGGTCTGAACCTTGTTGCCGCCAACCAGGCCATCCTCGCCGACAGTTGGTGGGCGCCCGCCATCGAAGACCAGGCCGTGGACCGTGTCTACCGGCTGGGCCAGAAGCGTGAGACCACGGTCTGGCGCCTGGTCATGGAGGACAGTATCGAGGACCGTGTGCTGGCGATCCAGGACACGAAGCGCAAGCTGATGCTGGCGGCGTTCCGTGAGACGTCCACGAAGAAGAAGCTCGATGATAAGGCCACCAGGGTGGCGGACTTGGAGTCGCTTCTGAAGTAGTGAAAGCGTGTTTGTTGTACTGCACTGTCATATGACTAGAGGTTGAGGCCATTAAACACATAGCCTCATTTCTGCCCTCCTCCTCGCTCAAAACTCAGTGCTCTGCCGCAAAATAGAGGATTGTAGGCATCTAGTTCCGGTTTCCGTGTACCCTGTTAGTGTTATCAGCCAGCCAGCTCTGCGGACTTATCTTTCGGGCGTTTTTTTTTTAGAAATTTACCATGATATGTGAGGTATCACTGTTCCTCATGTGTGCACGGCAAAAGCACTACATCTAGAGTAGGTCTCCTATGCACCTCTCGAACACCACGCACCTTCCGAATACGCGCGTTTCCCACCAACTCCCACACGAACAAAGCACGTATGCCAACGATTTCAACTTAGGAAAACTCCACAATCAAGAAAGCTATTATGATTTTTCATTGCATATTAGTTTACATCAATCCATTTCAAGGTTATGTTTTCGGTTGTCGCTTCCATCCTGTACGACCATCACAAAAGGAAAAAAAGAAAGGAAACAGCAACCTGGATACGAGCCGTGTTTGATGCAAATGCAGAGGCTGAGGCAGATGCAGATTTGAAGTCAGTCTGTCAAAAGACAAAAGGAAAATTCCACAATCACTATGTTCCACCATATCATACGTAACAATCTTGATTGACCCAGCCAACCGTGGAGTAGTATCATTATTCGTTGAATAGAAGCAAGAAGAAGAAGAGCGTTGAGAGGGAAACTTTGACCGCGACGCCGAGCAGTAGTACAAAAGAGCAACTCGACTCCAGTCGGCTTCACTCGGCGCTATTCGCCCCTGCAATTGTTAACAAGGGGTAGCAGTGGTAAGTGATGTACAAGAGCCCGGGAAAAGAATTTGTGCTGTGAAGGGTATCAAAGTGACAGCTAAAAAAAGACAAAGTCCTCCATCCTGCCCTAAGGAATAGAACGAAGGTACCTGTCGTGAGGGGTATCGTAGAAGTATGTGCAACGGCATGGAAAGAAACAATCTTCATAGACTGGAATATCGAATCAGAGAACAGGTGTGAGGGATGCGGAGTTCATTCTTCGTCATGGATCCTCCGCGTGGTGCTTCACTGG